CGAGCGCCGCTGCCACCCCCGGGCCCTGCGTGGACATCCCGGGGAGGCGAAGGACGCCAGAGCGCGCGCCGCCTCGGCTTCCCCGCGCCGCACGGCGAGTCCCGCAGAGTCCCGGGGGCGGGGGGAGGGGAGAGCTGGGTGCAGAGGGCGCGGGGCCCTGAGCGCCCCCCGGGGCTCCTGGACTTAGGACCTAGGGTGTCGTTCACGCGTCCGACTTGCAGGAGAACAGCCTTCTGCGTCTCATTTGAGGTGAAATTTCATCACCTGCTGGAAGCTCAGCTCTTCCTCCTTAGATTACATCCTGCCTCTGAGCGTGCTCTGCCTCGGAGAAAGCCCCATCCCAGCTTTGCGACGCTGAGTTTTCTAGATAAACACTCACAATTATAAAAATATTTTTTTTCAAAGATCTCGCTTTCCTTTCTCACCTCCAGTAGGAAAGACAGGAAACATTTTAATGCCTCGGTCCCAAGTACAAAAATGTTTCACCGAAATAGAGCTGGAAAACGGATGGCAAGAGAATTGTCCTGTTAACTATCCTAATAGGAGATACCTGGGACGGGCGTACATTCTAAATTCTAGAAATAAAATGAATTTCTTCGGAGTTAATGTGGAAAAATGTTAGTATTTACCGTGTGATAACCTAAGTCAGATATTTGGGGGCTTATGGTTTATAATAATTATGATTAGAGGTTATTCTTGTTGTCCTATTATGAAGGTTATAGGATTTATAGGTACTTCTAAAACTTTTGTAATCGTAAAAAGGTCCTTGTAGAAAATTCTGAAAGCACAGAAAGTTAATGTGTCAGCTCTCAATAAATATTTAATAACTGGAGAGAAATCACTCAAAATCTCACAGATAGTACAGTTTGATAGTCAAAGTTTAAAATGTGCTTGTACTGACGGTGATTTTTAACATTATTATTCCTGTGTATTAGGTTCAAAAGTATCTGACTGATCTCTTATATCCAGTGTTTTCGATAAAACCTATAAGAATATTTTACTAAATTATGTGGGAACCATAGTTGAACTTATCAACTAAAACAGAATAATATGGGTAGCTACCTACAGGACCCCTGACTTAAATCTTCTGCTCAGCATGGATCGCTGCTGGGGTCTGGGGAGGTTCGGCAAGGTAGACATTCTTGAGTACCTACCCACTGTATTAAATGCTGTGACCCTGTTTCTTTTTTCCTTCAGATTTTGTTTAAAGATTTTGGACTGTAAAAAATGGGCTTGGTTAAAATTTTTTGATAGTTCTTTCTTTTTGGTTTTGGCTTTTTGAGACAGGGTCTTGCTCTGTAGTACAGACTGGCCTTGAACTGATGAAGCCCAGGTTAGCCTCCAACTCTCAAGGATCCTTCTGCCTCAGCCTCCCTCCCCCACCCCTCCTCCTGGGATTACAGGTGTGTGCCACCCTGCTGTTTTATAACCTGGTTCTGGGGATTGAATCCAAGGCTCCTGGCAGGCCAGGCCAGCCTTCTACCAATGAATTACAATTAAATTTTGGGACAAGGTGTGACAAAGTTGCTCAGGCTCGCCTGAAACTGTGATCCTGCCTCAGCCTCCCAGGTAGCTAGGATTATAGATACGTGCCACCACCTCCAGCTGATTTAGGTTTTCAGAAGTCTAATTCATTTCTCTTCTCTCTCTCTTTTTTTTTGTCTGTCTTTTTGAGACAGGGTCTGGTTCAGGCTGGTCTTGAACTCACTTTGTAGCTCCGGCTGGTCTCAAACTCGCAGTGATCCTCCTGCCTCAGCCTCAGGAGTGCTGGGATTACATGCATGCACCACTATGCCCGGCTTAATTCATTTCTATACGTGTCCCTAAAGACTGCCACCATTAAAATCAGTTGAGAGTGCTGATTAAAATATGCAGAGTTTTAGCACCTGGAATAAGAATTCCATGCATTATGGTGCAGAAAGATTTTTATCAAGCTCTAGAATCTTAGTCCTACTAAAGTTTCAGTCTTTGACAAAAGTTAACTAACCTTGCCTAACTGAATAAAAGTGTGTTTTCTAGCAAAGCTGTCTGGAGTGGCAGAAGAATCATTTCTCATAGCAACAGATAATGGTGTGATAATGCTAGAAAGAAAAATATTTTGAGGGCTGATTCAACCAAGAGACATTTATTGAGAGCCCACTGTGGTAGCTGTGGTATATAGAAGGGTGCCTGGCCACTTATTTTGGGACTTAATGGACTTCAATGTCATTGTCTGTAAAATGTAAATAGTTAACTGTATTTACATAACAAAGCTTTTAGGATGAATATATCTGAAAAAGCATTGGAGTCCTTATCAGACTTTGTCAGGTCCTATCTTAGGTGTTCGGGGAAATACAAAAATGACCAAGGTTTGTGCTAGCAATTAGCTAATTGTGGAAGCAGGGCAAGTTTAATTAACTGTTACAAGGTAAGGTTACAAAGCAATTGTAATTGAGTGGGACAGGCTAGATTTCTGCTTAGAGCTTCTGTGTGTCATCCACTATCTTGCTGTTTAAGAACATTGTAAGGAATGGCTTGCTCAGTGGTAAAGTGGTTGCCTGGTATGCTCAAGGCCGTGGGTTTGATCCCCAGCACCACCAGAGCAACAACTGTAAGTGGTTATTCCTCTTTTCCCCCACTTCTTCCACTTCCGGATTCAGTGTTTTCTTTAAGAAAACAATTGTGTGTGTTTCCTGGTAAGAGAAAGAGAGAGAGAGACAGAGACAGAGACCGAGACACAGACAGAGACAGAAAGGAAGGGTGGAGATTATGCCAGTCCTCTGTTGCTTAGTTACCACCATTCACTAAACTTTCATCTGGCACCTGTTATGTGCTGGCCACAGACTAGTTGGTTGCAAGGCTGCAAGGCACAAAGCTTGATTAAAAGATAATTGCCTGGATTTTAACTTGAGTGATTTTGTTGCTAGAGGGGTGGTGTGTGTGCTATATGTGTGTGCATGTGTTTTATGATTATTAAATGCATGATCTGGTGCAGAGTATGGAGTCAGATGTGAACGGGAATCTTTACTAAATATTGCTCTTTACTCTTAGAGCAATGTGACATTTAGATTCTGAGTTTCTTATGTGCTATTGGAGTAACAGTACTTCTCTCAACAAGTGGAGCAGGCTTCATGAGATAAAAGTAATCAAAAGTAAATTAGCTCAGTGTCCCATAGAAGGTACTTAGTACATGTTCATTTCTTTTCTTTTTTGGGGGACAGGGTTTCACTATGCAGTTCAGGCCGGGCTTGAACTCAGTTGTAGTCCAGGTTGGTCTCGAACTCATGGCTATTCTCCTGCCTCAGCCTCCTGAGTGCCTGGATTACAGGCGTGCATGACCATGCCTGGCCAGTAGGTGTTCATTTTATTCTTTCTTTGGCGGGGTGGGGAGGTGGGGGGTGGAGGCGGTGGGGGGAGTAAAAGGAGGGGTGGGGGGTGGGGAGCGACAGGCCTTGGAATTTGTGTGACTTGAAATTGGGTATCTTTAGTTTGTTGTTAAGAGAACTAAGTCTTCGAAATTTTGGTGGAAAACAGTTTTGATCCTAACTAAATACATATATTTTCCAATTCATTTTTAGCTAATAAATTAGTTTCCTGGGTATGGGGTACATTTGTTGTACATTACTCATTTTCACAATTTTACATTGATCTTTATGACCCTTGTGTAGGTCTCTGCTTTATGTAGAGCAACATCCTTAGTATCTAATGATCATTGGAAAATATATATTTGCAGATGGATAGTTTTTCTGAAAACTAAGTTTGTATACTTAGTTTTCAAAAATACTGCATCAATTTGTTAAACATATTTGAGAACTGAAGAGTTTTCAAAATAGACTTTTCCTTACATTGTGTAGATTACACCTAGATTTTATAACCTGTGATATACTGACTGCAGTCTTATAACCTATATGACCTTGGACATGTTGCTTACTGTCTTTATGCCCTAATTTATTTGTTCATAAGATGAAGCTGATAATACCCACTTAAAGGATTACTGTGAAAGTTAAATGATATAACGAATGTGTAAATCAGCTGCAGTTCAGTCCCCAGGGGTCTTGGTAAATAAGCATTATTTTAAAAGTGGAAAGTATATTTCTCTGAGTTTTGGAAGTGCTTAAACTATCACTGTATTTTACTACTAAGAAATAAAATCAGCGTGATCAACTTTGAAGCATCAGAGAATGCCAAATTAAAGGTAAACCAAGGTGCCAAGGTGCCAGTTTCAGTTAATTATGTAGTTAGCATACCTTATACTGTGCTTTGGCACAGTAAATTTTATTTAATAAAATAATTTCAAAATACTATTTATAAAATATT